CCCTCCAGCAATATGTAATAAGACTTTTCTGCTAGGAAAAAGATAATTAAGACTCATCAAACCTAACACAATGTTGGGAAGAAATTATAAAGAACAGCGCACACACTTTTAAGATTTAAGATAGAAATTGTATCAAGGGGAGTAAATGTGATATTCTTGAACTAAATGTTTCTTTTTCATTAGTGTGAGAACATTTATTACCCAGCAAAAGATTTATCAATTTACCAAGATGAGAAATTAGTACTTCTCTTTTTAGTTAAAGTTTTCCAGGTTTTCAGTATGACTTGTTTGTGTTAGCCATCAAAGTGATAGATTTTGTTAAATAAAAGATCAAGAGTTTGCATTATGTTTTCATTAGGCAGTGATGATTTAGAAAAAAATAAGAATATTGTATTAGTTTAATCCCAAATTACTCAGGCATGGCAACATTTACACAAGTGGTTACACACTGAAAAATGAATTTAATGCATCAAAGGTACAACTTTAGCGTACTGGCCACTCAGTTTAAAAACACGTTCCACACACACACCAATATTTTACAGTACATACACTTATTGAACAATTTCTTTTCAACCTAAAGCTATAAAAATGAAAAAAAAAGAACTTTAATAACACCTAATTTCATATGAATTAACAATGACTCAGAGAACATTAGTTGCAAACAGCAAAAGGTCCCAAGTGATTTTAAAAAGAGGAATCCTAAATGAAAAACCTGTTTGCAAAGCCTGACAGTACCTACACTGTTACACAATACTGGTTTCCTTTCACTAAAAAGAAAGTTCCTGCAGCAGTTCCAAGCAGCCCAAGAGTCAGACCAAGTGCACAGAAGACGGTTGGACCCACACTCATCTCCTCTGTTTCAACATCTAAAGAAAAAGAGAACAGGGGAAAAAATATTTGAAATTCAAGCTACAACACCAGTAGAGACAATTTAAGTTTTGAAGCTATAGAAAAAAAGACTCTCTCACCCCAAAACCTGGTCTTGGGTTCCTCCAGGGCTTCATGTTCCACAGTGCAGCTGTAAATGTCTCCTTGCTTTGGAACAAAGTTCAGGTAGGAGAAAACATGAAACGTCCCGTCAGAGTTGGAAATAGTTTTGATGAAGGGATCTTCCACTGCCACCTCTTTGTCATTCTTGGTCCACCTGATGTCGATGGCAGGCGGGAAAAAGTTGTTGGCAAAACACACAAGACTGTTCTCTACATCTTCAATCACTTCATCTTTGGTGTAAATAATCACTTCTGGTGGATCTAAAAAATAAATTGGGAAGTTATTTCTTACAAGCTTGATTTATGACGGCTAAAAAACTTAAAATTGAGCTTTACCCACCTTTAGCCCTTCTAACATCTGGGTCTGGTTTCCATCGATGTATATCTTTTAAACACACACGTTGGCATATTTCTCCATATTTGTATGCATATTTAGATCGGACACTGCTTATTATTTTGTCGTCAAAGACACTGGCGTTGTTTTTAAAATCTGCATAATACAATTCATCGTCGTCCAATGTCACATAGAGCTGTGTGTCATTTGAGTCAAAGCATCCATAGGTAAAACAAAGTTGATGACCTCCTGCAGAAAAAGTGTTAAAAAGTGAAAATTAACATTAAAAAGGTAAATAAGTCAATCAGCTTTATGCTGGTTACTTACCTGCAGCACCGACGAAACGTGTCCCAAAGAAAAACAGGAGAAGTACGGAGCTCAGATTGTTTAATCTCCAGTGGCGTCCCATCATGACTCTCAGTCGCTTTGTTCTAAACATGCAGTGAAAACGTGATTTCACCAGACGGACTCAGGTTCCTGCAGGCAAGAGCTTCCTCATTCCTGAGTGTGAAATAGACACTTTTGGCCGAGGAGGAAGCTGGGTCCAACAAAAATCCTGCTGATTTATTTATTTTTTGTTGACAATTGTTGCTACTTCCAATTGTCGAGAGTACTGCTATAGATGTTCCAAGCTTGTATTTCTGGGTAATTCATGCAGAATCGACACAGATTATTAAAGTATAAATTAAGTTTCTTGTTGAGAAAGAAATTCGTTTAGCCTCAAGTTTTCATAAATTTGGAAATTTTATACAAGTAGCTGACTTAGAATTTAGATACATGTTTATTTTTTTTTTGTAAAGTGCATTAAGATGGTATTTTTGGGGATTTCATATGAAATCATTAAACTAGATTAAACTGAATTATTTAGTCCGACATTTCCACACACTGTGCTTTGATAGAAATTAGCTATTACAACCTCGCAGCGCAGCTTCATTTTCTCACAGGGTTTAAGACCTTTTGATTTATTCCTGCTTTTGTCTCTCTTTCATGTTTTGTTTTTTCCTTACATTTAACATTCCTACTTCTTGCATCTTGTACTTGCCTGGAAAAGCCACAAAGAGGCTGCCCCATAACACTGCCCTGTTGTTTATTACATATTTGCTAATAACTGTCTGGCAGATAATCTGTGAATAAATGGAGCTCCTCTGCCTTCTCCCAGTGCTTCCAGTGCTAGCTGCAGAAATATAATTTTGTAGGCTTAGACAGAGGAGACACATGCTCAGGGAAGAGTCTGTAGTGTACAGTGAGCTAATGTCACAACAGCTGCAGAATGGTTTTACAGCCTCCTCTCACTCTCTCTTTCTCACTCACGTTCACTCACAGGCAGTCAGCTGCTGATATTTTGTGAGGACAGCAGCACATCATGTTTGAGTGTGAAACTGCAGGACATAGGGAGTGAGAAGCAAGGTGACTCCGTTTCACGGTTCGTTTTAGTTTACGATAACACAGAAACATAAACTCTTTTTTCATAACTTAAAAACAGAAAAACACAAGATTTACATGCTGGTAAACCAACAACTGCATATGTTAATGGCAGGAGATGAGAAAAAGGGATAATTCATTCCTCTACACACCTGCAGGTCATGTTACCAGAAATACCAAGCGAGAGTTGTTGATTTAATATTATTTGAAAGACAAAAGGTGCATGTGAGGCGTTAATCTTTTGAAATCTGTACCATAAACGTCTCCAGAATACATATGAAGGTCTTAGCTCTCATAAGAAGGCACATTTATTGCTTTTTACTTATACTGAGAGAGCATCAGCTTTTCTAAGGAAAGCGTCTTTATCACAGGTAATGTTTTAGAAGAAAAAACTTTACTTACCTATGTACAGAAGCAAAAATGTTTCTTTTTCTGTTTAGTGGAATAGAAACACATTTGTCCTTATGAATCAGTAACTCTCATAGTTGCAGAAATCCAGGAAAATAGGAGCTCACAGCAAGGCGCGTCATAGAAATCTTCCCCATGTTTTCAAATTTGTTGTTCCAGTATGTACAAGCTGGATGTGTATTATATATTCTTTTTTAATTTTTTTAAATACTAATTGTCTTGTTTTTAGAAATAACACTATGAACAATACAAAATCCCTTCTTATTTATTTTATTTTTATTTTTCCCCAGCTGTGGCGTGTGTTTCTAGTAACATCTTTGGTTTCACTTCCGGTTTTGGTAAAACTGCAAAACGAAGAACAATAAAAAATACCTCTTCCTCATTCATTATAGAAATATAAAATACCACAGCTAAAACAGAGGGAATAAATGTTATATACTGCTTTGTGTGGTGAAATAATCACCACAAATCTAAACACATTTCTTTTTTTTCAGAAAACCGCACAACGAATCTGTAAATCTGGTTCTTGATGTGGAAACAGGATATAATGGTTCTTATTGTGCATTAATACCAACCTTGGTTTACTAAGCTGTAGAAACAGGATAAGTGTATTTTTTTATTAGTTCTGTATGATTTTCAGACACACAAACATTCCACGAGTTGCAAAGTTGCCGTCAGCACACGAACGTGGAGCATCTGGTGTTTTCCACGGGATTTCTCTGCCAAATGTGAACTTTCTAGCGACAGAGGCGCTGCCCCAGATTCAACAGCTGTTCAGCAGATTTTCAGGACTAACTAAACACATCATAAATGATCAAAAACAAAACCACTTTAATTCGAATTGAAAAATCGTATCATCGGATTTGCGCTACACACAAACCTTGACCAATGCAGTGATTTTCACCACCTAAGAGATTTCTCTTTACCTGCGTGCTGGAAATGTTCCCATGGCTACCAAAGACACATTCACCTGATAAGCCACGAGATGAGATAATATGCACATATTTGGATGAGTTCAAACATCAATTTGTTTCACAGTGCATGTCTGTGCCGTAGTCAGTAAGCTGAGTGTGCCACAGCTCAGTGAGACCAGGGCTGTTTGGTTTCATACATGACGTCTGTAAAGTGAAAGTTGGGGAATTTAATTGCATTGAGCTAATTATTATTTTGGAGAAGCTGGCTGGTTTTGTGTCAGCGGTGTCACCTCGATGCTCTTTGAAAGGCTTTCAAAGGATCAAACGATAATTACGTTGGTCGTTGACTGAATCGGTCGCATCGCTTGCTTTGATTTGAGGAAGGAAATTAATTAGCGCCACACAAATGCGCTGCCCACCCCCTCAGAATGAGAGCGTCAGAGAGATTAGAGCCTTCATTAGTGTGAATTCAGACAATGATTGCTGTGCCTTTCAGACGAAGTGTCAGCTATTTCCTGCACTTTGAAAGGTTTAAGATGAATCCCTTTTCTCATCATACAAGAACCATTTACCTTTATCAAATGTTTTTTATTTTTTTATTTTTAAACCAAACGTTTCACTTGCTTTTATGTATTGAGAGACTAATGTAGTAAAACTATCATTGCCTATGAATAACAGATTTTACGCAATCTTTGCATTTAAAAATAATTATTCTGTCAAGAAAACAAGGGAAAAAGATGCCATGTTCTTACAACAGAGCTGGCTGACAAGCGGTGGTGTTGCAGAGTTGAACTATGAGAAGGGGGAAGATTTCCCCATGTTGCATACCAGACTTTATTGAAGTTAAAAAATTAACAAGCCTACATCTGGCTCAGGAAGAAAAAATGGACCGGCCAAAATGGGGATAAAAGCAGAAAAAGGGTCATGGAAGACATCAAAATTACACCTGCTAGCTCAAAGAAGGACAAAACAATAATAAACGTTTCAATTTTTGTAGTAAATTTCATTTACTGTGTTTCAACAAATTTTTGAACAGATATTTAAACTGATTGGAATTTTTAAAGCAGTTATCTGTTCAATCTGTGTATTTTTCTGGTTTTTACTTTTGGCTCACATACTTGAGTTTCTGATTGGCTAGCTGTGGAACATGAGCCAGAGGGAGGAAGTGAAGTGTGTGTAAAGTGGAAAAGTATGAAGAAGATAAAAAAAAAAAACGTACAGATGTTTTGATTAAGAGATTTTCTGTCTTTTAAACAGGCTTCAAGCAATACATAGTCACTTTACTTTTATTAAAGTATTCAAATTCAACGAAACTTCATATGCCACAATTTCTGTTGGTCCTCGGCTAAAATTAGCATGTGAACCTTTTTTTTTTTTTGCTGTGGCTCATTTATTATTCAGCTCTGAATATCATTCAGTACAGTTCATAGAAATCTTATGAAAACAACACAGGATAAGGTTTTCTCCTGCTTTAATAACTTAATATTAACTCTTTCGCTTAGAGATTCGATCAATAGAATATTGACGTACTATATGCAAACGTGTTATGAATGACAGTATGCAGCATGCAAAGAAGGAGAAAATCTGCTGGTACTTTCCTTTTTTACAAACAAATAGTTTCACTTTAGCAGCGCAAATGAACATGGCAAACACAAAACGCGGTTGCACTGAGAGAGAAATACATTTCAAAATGCTACGTCGAAGAACGATTTGGTGCAGTGACATTTATGGTTTTATAAATGTCACTGCAGTTTATTTTTATCATCTTCCTCCCGAGAGTGCATTTAATTTAGAAAATAGCAAACGACTAATGCATGTGACCACATTATCATATGGACGCTCTGATCACAGACTTAATCCATCAGCAGTGTACACAAATCGTCCTGATACTCTGTGATCACATTATGGTCCTGCATGCCCAGCTGCTCTCCTCTTCTTACTTCTGTCCCACAACCCTGACGGCAGACCGAGTGTATCGGCACAGCTTCTGTTCTCAGCAGCCATTGCTTCCTCCTGGATGGACTGGATGTTAGCAGTAGATGAAGTTTAAGTAGATAGGAAAAACTCTCATTTAGGCTGCTAACCGATGGGGGATTCATAGAGTCCTGTGTAGATTTACACTTCTACAGATTTAACCTTATACAAGTATAGGGACAGGTGACGTCAAATATTATTTTGATTTGACGTCGGATGTGTTTGTATTTGTTCAGATGAAAGAAAAAATAGAAAGTGTGCATGTAGATTGAGTTTTTGAAGTAAAAGAATAACAATAACAACATTAAATATAAAAAAAATATCTGTTTTTAATAAGTCAACGCTTAGCGCAACAAACCAAAAGGCTAAAGAATCAATTATAGATCCAGATCAATTCTCTTTATTCCACTTTTATATCAACACCTATTAACCTGCTCAGTTACATTTTTTATAAATTTTAGATAAATTATGTGATATTTTCAGAATAATATTACTAGTATTACTGTGTTAATATTTTATATCACATACTATTTCCACTGATTGCTGTTTTCACAGCTGTGTAGGCCATCCAACTCTTATAAAACAGTTCTGAGCAACCTCGCTCTGGCACAGATTAATCTCATTTTTCTAGGTGTAAACTTTCAGTAGATTAGAGAAAAACACATGAAGCTCTCACTCTGTCCTTCTCTATCCCAACAGGTCAATTAGATGTTTATTTTTCATTGCAAAACCTTAGCACAGGAATATTTGGTTATTAACTCTAAACCAACTACAGTATTACAAATTCCTTTGAGTTTTTTCTCAGTGTGAATC